AATCACATAATATCATCTTCAAATCTTTTTCTCATGTTGCGGATGGTCCGCCATCTTTTGGCTTATCCATTTAAAATCTTTAACTTGAATTTCCTCCATCAAAATCAAGTGCAAGTGTTGCATTAATTTTAGTTTAATTTCTACATTTATTTTTTTACAGCTTTTAATCTTGCTATCTTATGATTCATCATAAGAGTAACTTTAAGCAACTTATTAATGTTCAGAGCATGTTATATGTAATAATAGAAGTGAATAAAATATCAAGTACTACAGCATCCTTGTCTCAAGAAATTTGCTCTAAAAAGCCTATTTTATCATGTTTTATGACTCTCAAATTCTATTTTTAGATTATCATCTCCTCAAAACTCAAATCTCAAGCCACTTCTAAATACAGAGAAGAATAAAAAAAGTCACCATAATCTCAAAGTAATTTTAGCTTGAACCATAAATAATATTGAATATCATTCATTGACTGTATAAACTATGAACAAATCATAATAAGAAGTAGATTTAAAGGATATAAAAAGAAAGACAGAGAGAGAAATAAAGAGTACTTAAGCAAATGAAAAGTCCTCCAAATTAATAAAAAGCATAGTTCTCCATAAATACAATAGAAACAGTAATATGCCACAAATGTTGTAAGCTGGAACAAATGAATTGAGAAAGGGTGTTGCAAAAAAAAGATGATAGAAGAGGACAATTATAATCAACTGATGATAAAAACCAGAAAAAATAATGAAACAAGTCATTAAATAGAAAATAAGCTCAATATCCCTTCACCAATACAATAAAATTCAGAAATACAATGTCCAAAATGTTGTATGTTGTAGAGATTGAGGGAGAAGGTGCTGGTCTCTGTCTTAGGTTTGAAGCAGATAATAGGAACAAGTAAAATAGGAGTAGGTCATGGTTTGATAAGGGATTTCGGGCTGAAGGATATTGTTTTAGTTGAGGAGAAGAAGTTGATAGTTATTCGGTTTGCTGAAGTGGGGTTGTTGTTCTGGGAAGTCGTAAGTGGTGAGCTTCCGATCTGCTGCTTGTGTGAGGTGGAAGTTGGGAAGGAGAAAAGTTTTGTTTGTGTCGATTTTGGTGTGAGACAGACAGAGGAATGGGGATTTGCGATTTGGACTATATAAATATCGTCCTGGCCGATTTTCTAAAACAAAGAATTTCTAAACTGATTATGACGGTTGATTTTTTCTGAATTAAGACTATCGTCCTGGCCGATACATGTATCATCCAGGCCGATCTTAATGACGGCTGCCTTAATGAGGATGCCCTAATTAGGGTTTTTGATTTTGGACATATCGTCCAGGACGATATAAATATCGTCCCGGCCGATATTACCAAAAATAGAAAACTTATAGAGAACAACAGGAAATCCTCCAAGTTACAAATCAATAGATCCCACACCAAATACAGCAGACTCAAGAAATGAAAAAGATTACAAACTGACACAGACCTAGTCTACCCAATCTTGAGCTGATCCCAAATTACAGTCTGATCGTGTGGACCTGAAACGTTAGCACATAAGACAATCGTAGATAAATAAGGAATGTTTGCTATCATCAAAATCATAAACCATAGATCCGCAACATTCTCTCCCTTTTTGATGATGGCAAATAATTCAATTTGAATTTTCCAAAAGAATAATTTCTCCTAATCTTCCCCTCACTAGAATAACACTTTTAAAAAATAGGGGAGATAAAAATATTTTTGTTGTTTTTAATTTTTTGAAAACAAGTTACAAATACGATAACAGTACAAAAATTCAATAATACGTTCTCCCCCTTTGACATTATCAAAAAGAGAGGAGGCACAAATAAAAACAAAATGAATAAAAGAAAAAAAAGAAAACGTTCCCTGATCTAGTGAAAAATAAATATTCTTAAAATGATAAAGTTACCTCTTATTTTTAATCAAAATCATAGTAGAATCTGATTTGACAATGCATAACCTAGAAAAGATTAGAAACTCAGAGATTGATAATCCAAACTCAAGTTCTT